GAGAGAGAGAGAGAGAGAGAGAGAGAGAGAGAGAGAGAGAGAGAGAGAGAGAGAGAGAGAGAGAGATTTGCAAATGAGAGAACATGCTCATAGTTCAGCTGCACAGCGTAAACGTGACCAGAAACATGGATAAATTGAATGGAACTGAACGAATTGAGTGAAACGAATTAAACGAGATTGCATGGAAACGAATTCTTTTGCTACAGAAAGTGGAACGCCAAGATGAAGAGTTTCATAAAATAAAATAAAAAAAGCAAAAAAAAAAAAGATGTAGAGTTTTCAGACTGTCAGCTAGCTATCTGACATTCCGACAATGTTATTTGATCTGACATCTTGACAATGTTATTTGCTCTGATCCTTTCCCAAATTGGAAAGGAAAGAAGGAAAGCTCTACTGTGATTCCAAAAGTGGAAAGCAAAGATATAATAAGAGTCAGTATAAAAATAAAAACAGTCGTTCGTTTCAGGGTTAGCTAGCTAGCATTCACTGCGGGAACGGCAGCTGCAGCAGCAGGAGGAGGAGGAGGAGAAGAAGAAGAAGGCGAGGGAGCGTTCTTCTTTAATTCCGTTCGAGAGAGTAATTGATGCAGTTCTTCGAGAGATCTTCTCTCCTGAAGGAGCTGCTGCATATCCCGACGCATCTCCTCGAACAATCTTTGCACGTGCTCTCTCTCTGCATTCACCCTCGCCAATTGTTCCCGCAGCATTGTCCCTTCTTGTCGAGCCTTACTGACTTCTTCTTCGGCCTGCTGAACCGCCGAGAGGAGGTACGTCTGAGGCTGATCCGCAAGCTGCAGCCTTTGTCTCGCCATAGCCAGTTCCCGATCAAGCTCCTTCTTCTCCATCTGATCTCGCTGCAGTCTAAGTTCCAGCTCCTCGACTTGCTTGCGCAGCCCTGCACACTCCTTCACCAGCTGTAGCGAGTACTGTATCCGTCGTCTTAGTGAGGTCAATGTGGGAGTACCACCACCTACCCCTCCACCCCCTCCTCTACCAAGATATGCAAGCTCTTCCACAGCGAATCCCCCTCCACCACCACCCCCTCCTCCTCCTCCTCCTCCTCCTCCTCCTCCTACCCCTCCCCCTCCGCCAGAATAAGCAATTGCTTCATCTATATCCTTCTCCAATCCGTCGTACTCTCGGACTCTCTCTCTGAGCACATGCACGTCGGCCTGCAACTCTGCCACCAGTTTGCTCTTCTCTGCATCTAGTGCGTGGTAGTTCTCCGTCAGCACCTTCACTTTCGCATGCAGCATTTCGTTCTGCAGCTTCGTCTGCTTCAACACCACCGTCGATTCCCCATTAACCGCACGGAGATGCTCCAGCTCAAACCCTTTCATCTTGATCTCCGCTCGCAGGTCGCCTAGCTGGCTGTCTACCGTGGACTGCAGTTCACGGTACTTCAGAAACATCTGATCGTACGACGTCTTCGCTTCCCTCAATTCCATCTGCAAGCGCTCTACGTCGAGAACAGCCATAGAGTGCAGCTCCTTGAGCGTTTGAATCTCTCTCTCTGCCAATTGCGTGCTCTCTTTGCGGACCGCTTCCAAGTCTTTCTTCGCCCTCCCCTCCAGTCTGGCTATGTCGGCCAGAAGCCTCTGTTCTCGCACAGAGTGACCGTCTTGCTTCTCCCCGAGGAGGAGCTTATCCATCAACTCCTGTTTACTTTTCTTGAGCTCGCGCAGCTTCTCTCTCACTCTCTCTCCCTCCTCCTCTAGCTTCCTTGCCTGCTCGGACTGATTCTGAATCTCGCTCTGGAGGTAAGTTTTGTCCAAGTTCAGCAGCTCGATCGTATGCTCCCTCTCCTTGAGCGATAACAACGCCTGGTCCCGTTCTTCGGTGATCGCCTGGACGGTTGCCGCCATAGCCGCTTTCTCGCTGGCTATGGAGTTCTTCTCCGACTGCAAGGTGTCCGCTTTCTCCTTCATCTCGTCGAAGAGCGCGCCTTTGGCACTCAGGACTTCCACCTGCACCATGCAATCGTTCAGCTCCTTCTCCAATCTTTCTCCTCGGGCTGCCATAGCCAACAAGTCCTGTTCGGCTTCTCTCCGCTCCAGCTCGTGCATGCCTTCCTTTCTCTGCAACTCTCTTCGAACGCGCTGCAGCTCCGCTGCAGCTTTGCCCAACTCCTCCACAGCCGATTCCCGAGCGTCGGAGAGCTGCTGGCAGTCCAGCTTCAGCTTGTTGGTTCTCTCAAAGACGACCACCATGACCTGCTCGCGCAGAGACCGTTGATCTTCCGCCATCGCCAGCAGATCTTCGTACTGCTTCTCGGATATGGTGAAAGGGGTTGACGTCAGCTCGGTCTTAACAAGACGAAGCTGATCGCGAGCTGCAAGGCCTTGCTTCTCAACCTCCTCCTGGCGGCGGCTCAGCTCGGCGATCTCTTCCTCGGCTTGATGCTCCAACCGTCGGATCTCATCTTCCAACCTCTGAATGCTGACAGCATGCGCAGCCTCGGCCGCCTTTCGCTCTTGCATCGCTCGAGACAACTGCGACTCCAGTGTGGCCACGTGAACCTTGTGGAGGGCCTGCTGCTGAATCAGCATCCCGACATCAAAGCTGCTTGCCGACGAATCTCCACCATTCGTATCCACTGTCAGAGGAGACGTCTCCCCCGATGTTGCCACACCCACGGATGACGACATCTCTCTCTCTCTCTCTCTCTCTCTCTCTCTCTCTCTCTCTCTCTCTCTCTCTCTCTCTCTCTCTCTCTCTCTCTCTCTCTC